TGTCGACCTGATAGCTATTAGGATGTCCCATACAAGAACTTTTGATAATTTACTAAATGAAATTTTTTGTTAAATTAATATTAGCTCGAGTAAATTTTGAATCCTGGCCCGGCCCTTGATAATGTGGTCATTGCAAATGAATGCATTCATTTCATAAATAGTAAAAGAAAAGGCAAAGATAGTTTTATGGCAGTGAAGCTTGATATGGCCAAGGCATATGATAGAGTAGAGCGGGTCTTTTTAGCTAAAGTGAGTAAAAAAATGGGTTTTTGTGACAAATTTGTAGCCTGGATACTTGCTTGCTTAGGCTTCACTTCTTTTTCCTTCAATATCAATGGTCAGGTTCTTGGATCAGTTAATCCTTCTAAGGGTCTTAGGCAAGATGATCAAAACTGCAGCTGGTGAGTAAGGGATGATCAGAGGATACTATTTGCAGTATTTGTAGTCAGGAGCCTGAGAATACAAATCATCTGTTTGTGCATTGTGCTAAGAGTCAAAACTGTTGGAAGTTACAAGGTCTGGATTGGGATGGATTTCACAAAGACAACTTCCATTTTAAGCTCTAGTGGGAAGATATTTGCAATAGTAGGAAAGCTGAAAAGATGACAGACAGAATAACTGTCTTTGTGTGCCTACTTTGGAGAATCTGGAAAGCAAGAAATAATTGTATCTTCAGAGGGGATAATTTTCAAGAGGAAGATATAGTTGCTGGAGCTAAAAGGGATTGGTTAGAGCTGCGTGGGTATGATGATTTAAAGATGGAAGCGTAAAGGACACCTCTGCACTCAAACACGAAGCTGGAAGAAGAGTTTTCCACGAGGTTAGGACTTGTTCTTTTACATGTCAGTGCCCTAACTTCTTCATAAGGTCTTGTTATAGCAGGTGTAGTGGCAAAGATGGATGGTAAGGTGCTACTGGAAGAGAAGAAGAGATGGAGTTGGGCTGATAATAAGATGGAAGCCAATCTATTAGCTATCAAATGGGCATTGGATGTAGCTAGGAGCCGAGGATGGGACAGAGTTGGCTGCTCTCTGGACTCTAGCTCGGACCCTAAAGACTTTTCTGATCTTAGTTGTTTAGCTTTGTTGGATGATATTTGTTTGCTTAAAAACTTGTTTTCTTCTTGTTCTTTTCTTTGACCTAGTGAACTTTTCTTAGCCCAGACCCTAACTTGTTTTTTCCCCAGTTGTTGTTCCTTTTTCGGTTGTGTTAGAGGTGACAGTTTGTGTTCAAATGAACATTGTTCCTTTTTCGGTTGTGTTAGAGGTGACAGTTTGTGTTCAAATGAACATCCGGTTGCATCTTTTTGAGTTTCAATATAATTTATTTTGTTTGGAAAAAAAAATAAAAAATCATATACTCACTGTTTAATAGAGCATCACATTTAAAGTCAAGAGGACAAAAACGGTGTTCGACAAAATTGGATAAACTCTTCAATTATTTAATGTTAGAGCATCCACAACGGGGCATTAATTTGCCCCGTTTAAATGGCAGAATGCCGTTCAATGCGTTGCGGAGCATTCATTAAGGGATGGGCCCCATGTGTTCGTTCATGCTATTGAACGGCATTTTTGTGCCTTTTTTTTTTCTTTTTTTTTTGGTTTTCATTTAATTTTAATGCACTTTTGGTGCTTTTTTATTTATATTTTTTTGTTTTTATTTAATTTTAATCACACTTCTCAATTATTTTATTTATTGTATTTTAACCATTTTTTTCTTTTTATATATTTAATTCAATTTTATCTATATTACACTTCTTAATATGTATATTGTTTTCTATCCCCATTCTTTGGACTCATTTTGTCACCAACTAAAAACTTTATTTTTTTATTTCTACTATTTTTTTCTTATGTAATCTTAACTTAAGTTATTTTGGTCTTGTGGTGTTCTTTTATTTTCATGCATTTAAAATTTATTATTATAATTTAAAAACATTAAATTTTTTTTTTTATTGAAAATATAATATTAAAATTTATATTGGATGAGTGGATAATGGGTCCCATGTGTTTATTTAAATGAATGAAATGGATGTGAGTGTCTGTTTAAATGGAGAGAGAATTAATGGAAAGATGATGTGAAGATTATGTGAATGTGAAAGAGTGTAACTTTTTTAGTGAATGAAAGGAAAAAAAATTAACCAATGTGAATGCACTTAGAGGACCAACTGTATTTTACAAAACTGGATGAACTCTTCAACTTCAATCTATTTCTACGTAAGCAGTTTTAACATTTGAAGACGGACAAAATTGAATGAAGTTCCAATTTGATAAACGTTAACACATTGTTAAGAATAAAGATACTAAATTATAAAAAATTACATCAGCACGCTTATATCACTAAAGTCCAATTTAAAAAGGAAAACGTACATGAAATAATATTGATTTTAATGAACAACGCCTCCATTGAATTTCTTT